AGGATCCGTCTTGTCAGACCACTTAACGCGCTGCTGCAAAGATGTAGGTACTCCAGAGACCATCGGTGCCAAAAACTCTGAGTCATTTGTTGCAGCAGGTCAAATCTGATTAACCGCGAAGAGTTTGTTTCCCTGAAGGGGTACTCGGGCAGGGCGTTAAGCGGCTGGCCAATCAGGAAGTGGCCCGGGGTTAGAACCTCCAAATCATTCCGATCGGACGAGAGGGGACAGAGGGGCCGAGAGTTAAGTACCGCCTCAATTTTACAGAATACAGTGGCAAGCTCCTCAAATGTCAAAATAGTTTCGCCAATAACGCCACGGAGATGCGTTTTTGCAACCTTAACCACTGCCTTAAAAATACCGTCTTAGTGTGGGCAAGCCGGAGGGTCGAATTTCCACTGGATGCCCTTCTTGGACATCGCAGTACCTAAATAAGTCCTGTTGCTGGACAGAAATTCGACCTCTTTCAAATATCTATCCGTGCCCTTATAATTCGTTCCGCAATCCGACCAGATCAGGTCCGGCAAACCGCGACGCGATACGAAGCGGCCCAGCGTGGCCACAAAGGCTTCAGTGCTGAGGGCACTTATAAGTTCTAAGTGAACGGCCTTAGTGGCGAGGCACTCGAAAACGCACAGATAGGCCTTACGTGAACGCGCGTTACGAAGGATGGAGGACTTGACGAGGAAGGGGCCAGCAAAGTCGGTTCCGACTCCAGCGAATGGTCGGATGGCCCTGACGCGGTCGGGTGGTAAGTCACCCATCATCGGCTGCGATATGGTGGCCTTCAATTTATAACAAGGTATGCACTTAAAAATGACGCTCCGAATGGTGCGTAGGTCAGCCAAAATCCAAAACTCCCGCTGCAAAATAGCAGAAAGAGCGTTACACCCAGCGTGGGCATTCTGAACATGATGGTGAGTTACCAGCAACTGAAGCACAAAAATAAAAGTACAAGAACAAAAAGCACAAGAACAAATACAAAAAACAAAAGGGACACGTTTTAAGAGCTACATCATAAAAATGTAAAATGTCACAAACTCTGGTAATAAGCTCAACTAACAATCTTTTAACATATAACATTGAATATAAGTTACTTAAATATTTTATCTTCAAATAAAACGTTAGATATTTAGAGCCCTAGTCTTCCCACCAACCAAGTGGAGGCCACACAGCTTGTGAACCCGAATCCAATAGAGCGCGAACCGTTAAACAGTCGCCACTCGGGTTGTACGCCTTCACTGAGGCCGTCGAACAGTTAGTAATAGAACAATAGAACAGTTTGACAAATGACATGTTGTTATTGTAATTTATATAATATATATTTGAACGTGGTCGATTAGTCGATCTGTTTCGGCATTACCGCTATGAGATCTATAGAAGCATACGTAGACGCGCGGATGGTCTTCGCTGTCTACGCGTAGCCAAAGGATGGACAGGTCCGTACCTTTAAGGCTGCTGAGGCATCAAGAACAGATATTGTGTCTGATGTATACGCAAACTCCAGACCGAGGCACAAAAAAGTGTTCTAATTTGTATGAAGTATCAGCCGGAGAGTATACCTGCATCTCGGTTAAAAAGAGCAAAGTCGGCTTCGCCGTCTCCAGATAGTAGTGGACGGCGTTAAGTTTCAAATAAAGTCCCCTGATGTTGCACAGCTAGCGTTGTAGGGGTGGCCATAGTTTTATCTCTCTGTTTGCCCCATGCAGTATTAGTATTGAGCGGGATTCCCCCCCCCCCGAGAAAACGCAAGGCAGTCTAAGCACCCACGCTCAGGAAGTGAAGGGTAGCTTGGGCGTGGACGCTCAAAGGAATTCTGCAGTACTAGGAGTGCTGGTACCCCTCTGGGATAGTCTTTTATTTTTCAATTCCGCTACCATGTTACGGGGACAGGGGCGGAGGTGGGTGGGGTTAGCCCTCCGGCCACCTGCTTTAACCCAGCGAAACTCAGAAGCAAAGCTTCTACTTCACGTTGGTATTCCGTGAGGTCGTGGTACTTCCACCAAGTCGGTTCAAGCCAGCCCATCCATGCAACAGCCAAAGCTGGCACTTAATCTATTAGTGTTCAGAAATAATAAAAAAAGGTTATAGGGCCCACAGTTTTTTACCGCAAATGTAGGGTGAACCATTTTAATTTATTTGTGTGACAGGACAACCCTAGCGGACAGTTCTCTCATCTGCTCTAACCACGTCTCGCCCTGCACCATGCCGCACGATAACCCCATTAAGACGCCTTCGATGACCGACTACTAGTAGTAGTTAGACTAGACTAGAGTAATACCACTATTCTAATTAGTGTCAATTACTCTCAAAAATTGCAGAAACATGTTCCAATTAAATGAGACTTCCTGTCAGTCGACATTCATTTGATTAAGAGGCAAGTATAAGTTCTGATCCCTAAAAATCAATAAAATGAAAAATAAATATACAATCTCTTCATTTTTCTATGTAGGTAATTAAATTTCGTAAAAAGAGACAGTAGTGACAGTATATGCAGGTGTTGATCAAAATGTAGTGTCAGCAAAGATTTTTGTTGATTTCTAGAGACTAATTATAAGTCATGATGTTGTAATAATTATAATTTTTTTTAATAAAATAAAAGGCTTTGCTCAAATGGAATTTGCCCAATTAAAAGATATCTGAAAATCAAAACAAGGTAATTTTTCTATACCCTATTCCAGGGATGGTGAACTAATGGCATGCGTGCCCTCATACCACAATATTTTGGGCACGCCACCTATAACAAAGTTCACTATGAATGTCATTATGACATATTACTAACAAACATGAGTGATGCTATGCTATGGAGAGTTTGGGCACAGTGCACGGGGTGGTGGTGGTGGGTGGAAAGAGCCCTAGTTTATTATTGTAGTTATATCGTGGACTACTATATTCGTTTCATCATCATCATCGTTACAGCCATTCACAAGTCCATGCCTCCCCCAAGGAATGCATAGTTTGTTTACACATAGCATAATAGTCAATTTCGTTGACACAACTGTATTTAAAAGTTCATTTGAGTTATATTTACAATTTTACAACCCCAATATAAGTTATTTGTCATCTAATCCGCAACAACATAAGTCACACTAATGTTACTTTAATTTGAAACATTTATTATTTAATATTTAAAATACATTTTGCAATGTATAATCTCAACTCAAAACTCTTTATTTATTTATTATAAAAAATAAAGAGTTTTGAGCCCATAGTATAAATACATACTAGAAACTACTGTTCAGAAGACTATATATCCTTATGCAAACAGCATCATCTGTTACCTTTGATAAAGGGTCGGGAGATTGCTGACATTGTATTTTTATTGAAAATTTGTTCTGGCAATGTTGACTCCCAAATATCATTGAGAACACCTACAGTTAACCTTAGAACGAATGCATTACTCTTCTTACCAGCTTCATCAACTAATTACGGAAGAAATACTTTCTTATATCAGTCTAGTAATAATTTTAATAATTTATGCAAAAAGCATGATTTTGATTTGTTTAATAGTAGCTATGTATCGGCAAGGCGGGTATTAAGTCGAGAGTTTTTGTGTCGTAATTTAATTTATTTTAAGAACAATTATATTGTGCGTTTAGCCCTGCTTTTCTTTTCTTTTGTGGATATTATTGTTAGTTTCACTTATTAAGTTTATGCATATTGTACATTTAAATTAGACTCCATTTTTGTTGCTCATAATTGTGCTATGTCCTTTAAACGACAAAAGATTATGTTAGTGTATTTCTATTAGTGAGAACCTGTTATTGGCTTCTTGTAAATTTATTATTTATTTAAGATTTGTAAGCTGTTGGTTTTCCATTACATAAAAAATAAAATAAAAATAAATAAAATAGTATTCAGTACTATTATTTTCCCAATAATCTCGAAGTCAAAATTATTTTATGGCACATCTATGACCTCATTATCTCATTAAACATTTCTTAGAAAAATGGCACGTTGATACACAAAGGTTCACCACCCCTACCCTATTCTATGACATAAACATATATTTCTCTGACCAATTTGGTTAAATTTATTCAGCTCTTTTAGTATTACTGAGCAGCAAACATCTAAACATCTGTCATAAATCATTTTTTTAATATGTTTCATATACATTTTCAACTATGTCAAGTCTTTTTCTTCCCTGACAATTTTTTGTCAAGTAAGTTTATACATTATATTTTAAAAATGATGTAACAAAGTATAACTACAATATAAAAATTTCAGCTAAATCTGTTGAGGACTGCTTTAAAAACATATTTAGATGTTTGTGAGCTTATTATGAAGCAACCCATATTTTGTAGATATAGAACTAACAAAAGCAAATATTTGACAATGTCAATATGGAACCAAATTCTACTTATGGATGACCTCTGACCTTTATAAGGCCTCTGTCTGTAAGTACCCATATACTAGAAAATACATTATGTATAAAATCAATATCACAGAAACTCAATTAAAGTTCTCAAATCTACAAATGTATTTCATTAAATCAAAAGGACATTATATTTTATGCTTTAAACTGAATATGTTATTCGAATTTATAAGAATTGCTGTTCCTTAAAAGATACTATTGTTGTGTGGGCAGCAAGTCTAAAACAAAAAATCAATACTTGTCTACTTGTCTTTACTTTAGGGATAGTATCGAAACAGATTATCCTAGAAAAGGGTGAAGAAAAGGGAATAAGCCTTTGAAGCACAATGTTCTCCAGTAGTGTTTCCCATAGTAATGACCATCATTCTTTCAGTACTAAACCAGAAGTACCTACTGTAATAGTTTATAAACCCCAATTATGCATCTCAAAATGACGCATATTGTTTCGTGTGTTTGTTTAGATGCAACTTGAAGCGGTTTAGCGCAGTGTAATAATTTTGAAGACGAATGACACAAACTCTTTTGCGGCGGCGTAAAGGATAAGCCCAAATGAATGGCCATCATGAAGGGGTCGCGTGTTCGAGCAGGCCCAGACAGCATAGAAAGACTACGACTGCGTACGCACCTGCGTGATTTGAAAGACATTTTGCAATCCTATTAAAAGCTCCGTGAATTTGTAGTGATGTAACCGGTCTAAAACTGCACTTATCAGAACTTTTTCACTCAACCCGACACTGTATTCACAAATTGCACGAAGTACACAGGAGACCTCAAAAAACACGAGTCCTCCATTGATATCGATCGGCAAACCCGATATCCGAACATTGTATTCATATCTACAGGGCGCCATTTTGTACGAGTCTGCGCGGTGTGGTTTTTCTTTTCACATGGAAAGGGAAATCGCCCCTCGGGTTGAGGGGGGATTGAATTTGTAATGTTGTAAGTACTAACTTAAAATTTGTCGCTTACTTAAAAAACTCACCTAAATTTGCTGCCAAATTTTGTAACTAATATTAGTAATTATAGTTGTATGTGTGAGACGAGTGTTCAGGAAAAATTCCAAGTTTATTTTCGAAAACATTGATCATGTCACTAGTGGCGCTAACTACATAATTTTCCAGGAACTAAATTTGACAAGTGAAATTGTAAATATTTCAGATTCAGTGGTGAAAATTGTTTTGTATGGTGAAAAATTGTTTCCTTTGGTCATAGAGCTCAATGATAGAATATAACGGTGATAGCTGATACTAAAATCGTAGGTGGTGTGTCTTGGCGGTCTTGTACATGTGGGATAATTATACCGTCGGATAATAAGTAAGTTTATTCTTTTAGTTTTTATATTACATAGGGAAATCGTAATCTTACTTAGATACTAATAATTTATAAACAAAATTTTAATTTACTTTTAAACATTGTAGGTATAACAAATAAATAGGATAAAACCAATATCATAAACCTGTCAATTTTACTTTATTAGTCCTAATCATAATCATAAAAGAAGCTTTTATTGTACTGTTAGATTTTATTAAATTTGCATTTGCTGCAGAAGCAAAACATGACAGAATGTCATTGAAAACACCATATAGTATTAGTATTTCATATAGTAATTGCCTGTAGTGTTTAGTACACAAAACTATTAATTATTAATGTTAGTTAAATAAAATTGTAAACCTAATTCTTCAAATTTACTTTTGTATAGGTTAACTATTACTAGTATTTTTTTTAAATTAAGATAATTAATTTAAATAAAACAACAAAGCCAGACTGCTATGAGCTGCGGCTGTCAAGTTTTTTAGATAGTTACTTAAAATAATTCTAAGCTAATGCTTAGTAATGTTATTTTTGTGATTTGTGGTTTTATGAACTATTATAATACACATTATCTCAAGAATTAACATTTTTGTTTTGTTTATGTTTAGTTTTCTTTTAATGTTTTTCATTTTTTACTTATATGCCTTATAAGCAAAAGATGTTTGGGAACTACTTAGTGAGTTCTTGATATCCATCCAAAAATGACTTGTTGCTTCATAACATAGAGTAAAGTTAACTCATCTATGGAAACTTTCCAGTAAAGTATAGTCTGTGTGGCTATCCTGAAATACTTATGCAGGCAGAATCTATTGGAAAACTAGGAAAAAAATGGGCACTGATGGGATATATAATATTGGTAGGATATATAAGTGCAATTATGTAATTATGTCAATTGTTTTGTGCTGGTGATAGAATTTCCACTATTCCATTTTGTCCCATGAATGTTGTAAGAGGCAAAAGAAAGAAATCAAAGTAGGGGTTATGAAGCGGCATCTTTTCTTTATATAAAATACTAGCAATGTTATTAAAATATTGCTAAAATTCCCTTTAACTACTTCTGGTAAGCTTAAAATGCTTGGGTTAGGAGTGGCAGATTTAAACCTATTGAGTTCACAGTCTCTACCCTATCATTAGGCTGCTGTTGATTATAACAACTAAAAGCAAAATATTTAATTCCTGCAATTCCCCTGATGTTGCGGTTGTTCATGGGCGGCGGTAGACACTTATAGATGAGCCGCATGCTTGTTCGCCCACTTTTCTATATAAAAAAAATGCATCAGTTATGTAGTAATTCCTTTCAAACTTTGAAGATACATTGTTCAACACGCAATCATTAGCTAACTATCCTTTTTTCATGTGGTACCTAAAGATAAATAGTAATTTGTATCTGTGTGCTATTATGTGCTATAAAGCTCTGCCAACCGACCTCAAAAACTAAACAAAATTAGTTGATTTTATACATTATTATACAACATAACTATGATTATTTTAGACTGACATACATGATGACATACACATGAAAGGTTTATGCACAACTTAGTATTCTATTTCTAAAAAGTTTTTTTAATTTCAAATTTTTTGCAGGCATGCACTGGTTGACTTTTTTCAAGGTCAAGGGTGTTACAAATATCTTTATACTTGCCATAAGTAAAGTAGGGCCTTTGTACAATTTGAATATTGTTATTTTTAATTGTTCTTTGTTTTTCAAATTAAAAAGTTCACTTTAAAAATATTTCCCTTACCAGGTTCTCCCTGCACCTAGTGGAGTGCCACCCTAAATTTTGCTTATCAGTACAAGAACTACTCAAAAACCTTTCTTGCTCAGTAGTTGTCGGTTCTTCGAACTATATGGCTGTCCTATTGCCACTATAGCTTACTTAACTATTAAGCTATGTTGTTTACTCTGGTTCTACTGTGAATATCCTCATTTCTAAGTCTTTCACGCAGATAAACTTTGAGCATAGCCCTCTCCATAGCTCGCTGAGGGTACCTTGAACTTTATCATAAGTTCATTAGTGAAGGACTATATGTCCATATCAGTGATCAACTGGTGTGTATTGCCAGTGGTAATATAACCACTGGCAAAACGCACTAGTTGAACAATCTTGGTTTCAAGTTTTGAGGTATATTCATCTATGTGAAAAAAAAATTAGTTCTATTACCAAAACATTTTCTTAACATTCTACAAAATGTTAATAGTATACACGATACAATAATAATAACTTATAATTAGTTCTTAATAATAAGAATTTCTCCGCCCCCTGGATAGACCACAGAAAGGCATTCGACTTGTTTCCTCATACATGGCTCAAGAGGGTCATCGAGCTGTACAAAGTTGACTGCACAGTTAGAGACTTCCTTGGGCAGTGCATGGGACAGTGGAGTACGATCCTTTAGTTTTATCAATTAGTCGTTTTGTAGGCGGAGCGGGATGACCACATGAGGTTAAAACGGGGGTATCTTTGTATTCCAACACCAAAGAACTCACAAAAAGCAAATTACTCAGTATCGGCCAATTTCTAAGTTATGTGCTCGGGAAAAATTTTGTAGAGTATTGTAACTAACCAATTGTCAAATGTTGTGCGTAATCACATTGATGAAAATCAATATGGCTTTATGAAGTCCACGCAGTGTGTACACCAATATGGTCATGTTTACAGACTTCCTCCTTGATGCAATGGATAATAATATGCAGGTTGATGTCGTGTACTCCGACTTCTCCAAAGCTTTTGAAAAAATTAACCACGACATACTTAAAAAGCTAAAAGCTTTGTAGATTAAGAGTGCATGGCAGCCTGCTTAAATGGATCGAATCGTATATACGAAATCGCAGTCAGGTTGTCTGTTTTGTATGCTTACGGCTCGTCCTTTTTTCCGGTCCCTTCCGGGATCCCACAAGGCTTCCATCTAGGCCCTTTGCTTTTTTCCTTGTGCATTAACGACGTAGGTAAAGTCATCAACTACTGTGTGCAGATGACACTAAACTTTTCAGGAAAATATATTCTATTGAAGATTGCTGCAAACGACAGTAGGATATTGGGAGCTTATGTAATTATTGTGAAAGTAATCAATTGTACCTCAATGCAGATAAATGTTTTATAATTACGTACTCTAGAAAATCAAACTCCCTAAGTTAAATAATTATACTCTTTGTGAGAAGGCTCTTAGTAGTGTTAAAAACATTCGATACTAGGGCATCAACATGGACGATTTCAACAACCACATAAATTTAGATATAAAAAGAGCTTTCAAAAGCCTCGGTTTCATTAATAGAATAACTAAAACATTTAATAAGACTCACTCTTAAAATCCTTTATTTCTCATTCGTAAGATCCATTCTTGACTTCGGCTTTATAGTAAGGTGTACTTTTTACGAAAACCAATTGAAAAAAATTTTAATTGAAAAGGTCCAAAAACAGTCATTAAGATTTTAAACTACCGTTGCAACCGTTATTAACGTATATCATCTCACTCCATAAACATAAAATGTTGAGTTTCAGTGATCGCCGTAAATATTTTGATATTATTTTATTTAAAATTCTAAATAATGAAATTGTTTGCTCTTCCTTATTGGCTAAAATAAAAATTAAAAGTAAATTTCATCTGCCCGCTCGCCCCCAACGCGTATTTCATGCATTCGTACCACTACACTTCGAATAAAATATACACAATATTGCTTTATCTTCCGTTTGTTAAAATTATACAACAAAGAATTTGTAAATCTCGATCGCTTTAGTGGCTTCTTAAAAGTCTAAAACGAACTATGATATTAGTAACCTCTATAATATGTTGATGGTCAGTCCCTAAAAATTATGTTATAAATTTTGACCAAGTTACCTATTTTTAAGTTTTGCTACACTGTTGTTGTTAATATTGCTTTTCAGTTACACACAATATATACGTAAATTTACTAATCATATTCAAGTTACAATTTTAAAAAAATCTTACACTGCGATTGATTCCGTCCAATTTGGCTTTGCCTCTCTATGAACTCTCTTAGTACCTTACTGGAGGGCCCCGGGAGGGGATTTCAGCTTCGGACCGGAGGCACAAAAGTGTCCTTCTTTTCTATATCGATGATTTAAAATTATTCACCTCCAATCACTCTCATCTTATGGAATTGCTAAACATCACTTGTAATTTTAGTAGTTCTATTAGAATGGAGGTGGGGACGGATTAAGTCTGCGGTACTCCGTATTGAGAGGGTAGGTAGTTACTCTAATATAGAGATATATACTATACCAGTACTATGCCCATCAACATAAACCTTTCAGCTAAACATCCCATACCTGGTTATGTCACAAAACATAGTTTGTGATGAGGCAGACATGAAACAATCAGTTTACGATCTGTTTTATGCATGCTTGACGAAAGTGCTTAACAGCCTTTTGTCGGGCGTGAATATGACACAGGAAACGGTTGGGTCATGCCTGTCCTCATGTATACCTTTGGCATACCTTTGGACTCCGAACCGACCGAACTGAACGCTCTGGATAGAAAGTCCGCACTGATATGACGTCCCATAGGATACACCATCTG